TGTGATAAAAGCAGACGGGTTTATGAACTCCTCGGTTAAGCGGGAGACAATTGACACCCAACAGTGGCTATGACGAGTTAACCAGGTTACCAACGTGATCAGGGAAACGCAAGCCAGAGTCAACCATGACTCCGAGATATTTCATATCACTTACTCGAACCAAAGTCTCCCCATGAATATAATATGCAAATGAGATATTGTGAGTACTCCGAGAGAGTGTCAAGACCTTGGTTTTGGATGGCTTCAGAAGAAGTTCTTTGTGAGTGCACCAACGGTAGAAATAACATGCATCTTTCCGTAGCTTGGCAAAATCATGTGCAGTAAACATTTATCTGTAGATATATAGATATATCATCAGCATATTTCAGAAATGAAGAATGTAATACACCAAGAGAGACATCATTTACAAAAATTGTGAACAGGAAGGGTCAAAAAAAAGATCCCTGAGGAACTCCAGGGCCCGTTTGATCGAAGCGCTAACCGCGGCTAAAGTTAGCCGCAGTACCTAGGAGAGGGATTTCGAAATCACGAGACTGGCTCGGTAGGGATGCGGGGAAACATGGCGGTGCCCCGGTGAGTGAGCGCCGCTCGCTTCAAAACTAATATGTCGTTGTAGCTGCAATATCAGGCGCGTTAGTCAGCGACGAGCGGTGCAGGAGACTTTCGCTTTGCCTTACCTCACTCAAATAATAAGCATGGGCAACGACCTCGCCGCATTTTTTAGATAGTCTTTCGATTCTGGCCATTCCTAAGCCTAAATGAACGCGATAATTGTCGGCATGGCAACGTCTTTGGAAAGCGCATTGCCTTGACTCAATCGGCCGCGTATTGATAGCACACAAAAGCAGACAGCGTTTGAATTACCCAAGCATCGAAGAGAACGCTGGAAGTGTAAATCTACTGTCCGCGCGCGCTGGCCTTCCTCTTATAAAAGATTCGAAGTAAATAATCATAACAAGGCTTTGACGAACGCGCGTGCAAGGCAAAATTTGTTTTAGACTTTTTGTAGACGTTTTGCTTTAGAACAATTACTACCGCAGACGCCAGCATGTGCAACGTGTGTAACTCTCGTAGCCTGCACCTCGGTGCTTGAAAAATTTAGAAAACGGTCTATTGGGACGCTGTCCAAAGGCCCGCCCGTAGCATTATTCACAGGCTGCCGTCGGTGATCGGTCGCGTCCGGCTGTCGTCGCTGACCGAGCACGTCACGCAGACCCCGGACCTCAGACCGCAGTAGGGCCATGGCACCCGCCTGAAGCTCGACATCGCGCTTTTGCTCGTGACGGAGGCGTGCGCTTGCATCTCTTGGGGGCGCCGATCTTCTCAGTCAGGAACGAAATTCCCTCCATATCATCGAAGAGCAGGCCCCGCAGGGTCTCCGTGCCGGCGACAAGGGCAACGGGAAGGGAGGCGGGTGGCCCCTTGGAAACTTGTCGAGCCAAAGAGAAACCCACAGGGGTGCGGGGAAGGACCGCAGCGTTGCTGGCGTGATAGCGGACGACGGCATTGCGTTTAGGCCTCGCAGCACCGCCAGTATTCACAGAACTCTGGCAGTGAAAAGGAGCTCAGCCCAGACTCAAGAAATGTGTCGATCTTGTCCGGCCAGCATACACACTTCATGTGCGAACTACGTTTGCCTCCAGAACATCGCAGGAACTTTTGTCTCCCGAAGAAGATACAGCAGCAGATTGTGCATAATATTAAGAAATCGATCTATCAATCAGTTTTTATTTGAGAGTCCAGGGACAACTCCTTGAGTGTTAGCGCTGGCATACTTGTGAGAGACAAAAAAAATATTAAAACGGAAACACCAGGGCAGTAGTGGAACGACGTCCACAATTCTGACATGTATTGACATATACAGTCTGACATTGAACTGAAATATTAAAACGGAAATACCAGGGCAGCAAGGAACGCAGTTTACAAGTCTGACACTAGGACAGTCAAAAAGTAGAAGACAGTTCAAGCAGGGGGAACAAGCCAAAGAATAATGTAGAAGCTGCACCAAAGCTTGCATATTTTAAACAAAGGAAAGTAACATGATATCGTAACCACACAAAAGAACTTATCAACCTTTTTCAAGCATTAACTGCTTGCAAACAGAAAGATCATAAGTTCTGCAGCACGAACCAAAAGTATTCAGTGCGTCTAGTACATGTTGTATAACTCAGCCGATCTAAGAATAAGGCTTAATCGATTAAAATGCCGAGAGGTGTAAAACGATGACTGAGGCCGTGTAGGCTCACATACAACTATAAGGCTCACTTGTAACAAGGGGCTGGGAGAGTTAATAAAATAATAAAGAATTTAAAAAAAACACATAGACATATTCGCCTTAGCCCGACGTTGATGCAGGCTCAGCAAGTTCACAAGTTCGGAATCAGTTCCATAATCGAAGCGATGTGCACCACTCCTAATGTAGTGATGTGTAAACACGGAAATGAACTTATTTTAAACTCTGTCGAGTGTAAAGGAGTTCGTTTTAGAAAGGATGTTACACACAACTGATGCGTACTAAATGGCGACCTCACTAACGAACTGTATAGTGTCAGAAACGTAAACGGGTTAAATTCCTTTGTTATGCGACATGGAAACCCTGACGTGCAGAGAGACGAGTTTACAACTGTTGTTATGTGATCATCGAACCTCAAGCTTGAATCAAACGTAGCCCCCAAGTCCTTCATCTGAGACATATGCGGTAACAAATCACTGCAGATGCTATAAGCGAAAGTAGTATTCGACGTTTTTTATATAAAATTAAAAATAACAATAACGATATAAATATTAACCAATCAGTGTTTATTACAGTGTCCATGAACAATCTCGTCGTCTGGGTGCTGGCACATTTAAGCTACAAACTCGCAAAAATCACAATAATAGTAATATTAATAATAAACCACTCAGTGTTTATTATAGTGTCCAGGAACAACCAGCTGGTCTTAGTGCTGGCACACTTAAAAAACAGGAAAAAACACACATACAAAACACACTTATATATGTACAGTACAGGAGAGCAAAGGGAGAACGTAGTTCAACAGTCTGAGACTAAGAATATTAACAAGTACGAAAGACACTCAAATCAACAAGGAGAAATAAAGATCACAAAACAGAGACACCACCAGGTGCCAGAGCAAAAAGCAAACACTCGGATATCGTACTGACAAAACGTAAACCACTAAACTGATCAGCTCTTGGAAGACGAAGTTTCGAACAGCGTTTCTGAACTTGCTACCTCATGACTTAAAAATATCAAGTTCATCAGAGTAACGGTTATAACGCTCATTCGATCTTTGGATCGAGTTTAAGTCACTAAAATGTCGAGCTATATAAAAATACGATTGAAGCCGTGTATATACACGTGAAACTCTAGGGCTCATTTTGGACAGAAGGCTGGGAGAGTTAATCAAGCCCTACAGTGCCTTAAACAAAAACAACATATCTGCCTTCACCTGCTGCAGGCTCAACAATTTGACGACTTGCGATTTACCACCAACGTTTAAAAAATGAGCACCTTTCTCAATGTAACGATATTTAAAGATGGAAATAAATTAATTTTGAACTCGCTCGAGAGACGAACTGTTAGTTTTGGAAATGCCGTTCCAGGCAACCTAGTCGTACTCTAGCTGGGTTCTTACTAAGGAATAGTACAGCGTGAAAAAGGCGGACGTGCTTTTGAATTTCTTTATTATGCAAGACGCGGCTCGTGCGCAAGGCCGATTGAACCACTCTGGTGACGTGAGTGCCAAATCTCAGGGTTGAATCAAAAGCAACACCAAGGTCCCTCAGTTCACTTAAACGTGACAGCGGTTCGCCAATGATAACTCTGGGGAAAAAATCCCGCGCGTTGCATCATGGGATGTTTCCCAAATTTACCTCACACGTGGCGTCAAGCGTGACGTCACGGTCACTCGTGAAGGTCCCAACTTTCACAGTGAAGGTCACGTGACCTTCACTTCACGAGGCCTTCCCGAGTGACGTCACGAGGGTTACGAGTAATGTCACGAGGGGGAAAGGCACGGAGGGGGAGGACGAGGGAGTGGAGGAGTGGAGGAGACTGAGAGGAGCAGCGAGGACGAGGATGGCGGAGAGGGAGAGTGAGGATGAGAAAAGGTGGAGAAGGCGAGGAGGAGGGAGGAGAAGGAGTGGAGGGGGGTGAACATCAGGAGGAAAGAAGGAGGATAGGGTACGGGTTAGGAGGAGGGGCACACACTTCTCTCCGTACCGTTCCACTTCCTCCTCAAGAGCTGCGCTCTTATTCGGCGTTAGAGGGAGTTGCAAACGTCTTTCGTTTTTTTATTCATTCGCACCTAAATTTGAAGTCTGCCGGTTTATTAATGAAAGCTGGAAGTCACCCTCTGGTATAACCATTTGGTTAGGTTTTTTTTTTTAAATTTCTACTGCATGTAAGATTGAATGTATTTTAGGAATGACACGGGTGATGAGAGGGGACGGTAGTGACCAGTGAAGATTCTGACCCACAAGAGCTGAGAATCCTCACTGTTCAATTTGACAAGATACACTTTCGTTGTCAACAATTTCAACCATAATAGCGCACGAAATATCTTCTTTTTTTTATACTAAAGCAACCTTATATGCATGCCGTGCGCACCGGACTGCATTTTCTACTTTGTGTTTAGTACTGTATGTGTTTAGTATTATCAATGTATTTGTTGGGTTTTTGCTTTGGCTTTACAGTTTATGCGCAATTTCTTGTGTGTGCAAGTTTTGGTGCGCCAGCACCAAGACCCTGTGGTTGTTCCTGAACACCTAACAAAAATTAATTTGTCTTTAATTTTATTATTATTATCATTTTCTGGTTCACCTCATCTACAATTAGAACTACGTCTCAGCAACGCCACCATTGAATTACTCGTGGAATGCACTGCGTCCCTCAGTATGTTACTTAGATTTTGTAGCGCGGGTATATATATTCTTCTGGGGTTTCTAGCATAAATTTATTGTGCGTTTTCAACAAATCTCATGCATAACATTTTCCCTAGGTTTACCCTTGGCAGCACTACAGCGGAGAGTATCCCTATACAAGATTTTTCTCCTTGGAGGACTGCTGTCCTGGGTGGGAGTCTTAGCATCTGCGTTTGTACCGACCATGGCGTGGATGGCGGTGACACTGGGCGCGATTCACGGTAATGGTCGTTTTTATCCTTTTGTTGCCACAAGATATACGTCTTAAAATATTTTTCTTGCGTCTTAAATTTTCATTTACGTTACATTAAGTAAAATGCGACGAGGCGAAAAATAACCAAGTCGCTTAAAGGCGCCAGCGTTTGGAAACGTTCATATACGTATTAGAAGCTACTCCTGGTTCGTCTTTTTTTATCTTTTAAATTGCCCCAATGAACCTAGAGTGTCAACTTTAAAGGTAGGGCCAATATTGGCACCTGTTTAAAACTACAATTACCGAATAAGCCCGCCTATGACATCGGGCGTTTAACTAAGTGAAAACGGACACATAAAATCATATATCCCCGACAACAAGATTTAGAAGTATAACTTTCGCCTAGAATGTAAATACAAAAAGAAATGCAAGCCATCTTTTACTATGACTGCATATTTGTCCCATCAGTTATTTACTTAAAATGCTTCGTTACATCGCTATTTGCTCGCAATAATAAATGCTGGATGCATCGTTGGAGGTCTCATTATTCATTCAATAGCGGTTTGGGCCAGTTGGTTCATTATCACCTAAAAGGCCAAAAAAGGGCCACAAAAACACAAGGACGAGGAAGTTGACAAACAAGAGCGCACCCGCAACTGGCTTTTATTTGTGAAAACTAATCATATATATATATAACTTTGAACCAATACATTATCTCTCCCAGGCACGTAGCCAGGATTCCGTTTCGGGGTAGGAGGGGGGGGGGGGGGGGGGGGGGGAGGCGCCCGTGACAAAATGCTGTTTGAGGGGGAGGGGAAAGAGGAGGTTTCAGCAAAATGGAAGATTTCGGGGAGAAACCCAGGCCCCTGGAGGAGCATCGTACCGGCATGCGGTTTCGTGTATCAAAACTGCGTGACGCCCGTTATAAGCCCAGGATGGCGGAGACACTGAACTGAAAACATTTCTAGAGCGTAAATCAGTACGGTTGCCATACCTCAAAGACGGACGGACCTGACACTTTCTAAACTCAAACGTCCACTTTTTTTTTCTTTTTTTTGTAAACAATTTGTGTTTTTACGAGTGCCTCTTTTGGCACTGCACGAAGTTTTTCCTTAGCTGGTGTTACATGCAGCACCACCTAAAATATGTGGAGTAAAAAGTTATGTATGATTTAATGATTTCAGGATATTTATTTTCTCTTTTGTTACAGGTCTCGGAATCGGCATCATTGCAATAGCGCTTAGCATCCTCCTTTCATTATACTTTGACAAGTACAGATGCTTAACACAGGGAATTAAGTATGCTGGAGCATCGTGCGCTGGACTGATTTTTCCCAAGTTGTTTGCTTACTTACAGCAAGAGTACGGCTTCCGGGGTACACTTCTCATATACGGAGGCATCACTATGCACGTGTCTGCACTTTGTCTTCTGCTCAAAGAGCCATCCTGGATACGCTTGAATACGAGCCAAGAAGCTACGGGAAATACGAAAAAAGAGCTTTCAACCGTAATACATACAATATCGGTTGACCGTAATAAACCTGAAAAAGGATCAACGACCAGTGACACACCAGAGGTCAAGGAACGTTATCCCACGCTCAAGTTATTACTCAATCCTATGCTTTACGTCGTTCTTACGATGGCAGTTGTGACAGACTTTACCGGAGCTGCATATCTTTCTACCCTGGTCGACTACGCGGTAGACAAAGGCCTGTCAATCGAGGATGCAGAGTCCCTTGTCATCTACGGATCCTGCAGCGAGTTCGTTGGGCGTCTGTTCCTTCCCCTTATGGCGGACGCAGGATGCATACGACGCAGTACCTTAGTAACGGTTAACTTCTTTGTATGGGGATGTTCTATGATGCTGATGCCGTATGCAACAATTCACGTTCACATCATTATCGTGTGTTCGTTCGTATACCTCGCCTCCGGGTGCCTGCAGCCTATGAGGAGCGTCCTCATAGCTGACTACATCGGTGTCCAGTGGCTCTCAACGTGCTACACATTCTCGGGCTTTATCTTGTTGCCTCTTATTTTTTGCAACCCATCAATAATAGGTAAGTCTATCTGCACTGTTCTACTAGATCCGCATAAGTGACGTATATTGACTGCATTTTTTCCCTCATAATTTTGTCTTGCTCGTCCTTTGTGTTTAGGGCTCGCATACATGTACTAGCTAGGTCAGCTTGATAAGTTTAATCGTGGTGCTTCGAAAGTTAGAATATAGCTATCTTGCAAAACACTGTTTGAACTCCTAGGGGTGATATTCGTTCGAATGTTTTGTTCAACTGCTTATATACTACACTTATGGTTTTGCTTGGAAATGCGAAAAGCAATGGTCGCACCTCTGAAATCAGGACCGTTCACAAAAAAAACAGTTTCATAAGACGTACGTTCAGCTCGAAAGCTTCTGAGGCTTTATACTAATAAGCCATTTCCACGTGTGTCTTTTCTGTGTTTTGTTACGTGCGGTATGAGTTGATTTGAAGATCCTTTAATATTTTCTTGTTTTATGGTCTACTGCTCAAGCCGGAGTAATTGGCGACATAGAGTATAATCGGCTGGTACTCAATTTCTCATATGCCGTATATTATTTAGAGTTACCAAGGGCCGCAACTCGTGAGTTCAGCTTGTCGGCGACCAGAATATAAGAGTTTGGTCGCTGACATTTATAAGAATGCTAATTAAATGAAAAAAATACGGAAAATGCTCACAAGCATGATCGCAGATAGCTTACGTGAAGTAAATGAGGTGTCTTCTAAAGTCACCTTTTAGAAGGATGCCGGTTAATGTTCGGACGCTCCTCTTGTCATATTTGAACACAATTTGGTGTTCTTCACAATATTCAAACAAGTATACCTAGAACAGTCTTGGAAATTGCCTGAGATACATTGTACTCAAAGTACTCCATCGAGCTCGTTTGGAAAACTTCTACTTCACTAGAAGTACATTCTCTGATGTAATTGTTCTTTAGCGAATTTGTTTTTCTCGTACTTTCTGATGACAGGGCAGGTCCCGTCTTCCAAGTTGTGTTTGTTGTTCCCGCAGGAACAAGCTTTCACAGAACACGCCTTCTTTCTCGTTCTGAGAAGGCAGCAACTATATTCCGCTTCGTAGGGGTCATGAAATTATATGGGATTAGGATGTTCATTAATTTCTAGGTACGAACTGGTCCTAATCTGGCCCAAGTATACTCGCACCGACCGACACTGATTCAGAAGCTTGAGAAGCTTGAAGCTCAGCGCGCGTCTTCTACTTTGCCAACCCCAGCACGTGGCTATGATTAACGTTGGAAGCATATGATAGGCACCAGGCCACGTGGCCGCTTGTTCTGGCTCCGAGTAGAGGGGATGGACGATGCTCATAGTTCTCGTATCTTTTTAACAACTGCCATGGACTTGAAAGAAAAACTATGGAAAATATATTCGGTTATTGACGTTAGCGGGTGATTCTAAGTAGTATTTAGCGAAAGTAGAAAATTCGTTTCTTGACCCCTTTAATATGAAACACTGACAAAGCTGCTGGCGCCAGCATGGGGCTTGATCTCGTTGATCATTTGCACACGTTCTCGCGCAAACAAACCCACAGATAAAGCCGCGCGCTCGCGCCAGTAGCTTTGACAGCGTTGTGTATTAAGGTGCAACCCCACCCCTCGTTAGTGTGATTCTGAACCAAGAGATGGCGGTGGGATTGCCTTCAGGCCTGTACAACAATAAGAGAAATCGTGGGTGGTGGCGCTTCGATACAGTGGGGTATTTTTTTATATCTTGAATTTGACATCCCTGGTCCTTCGCTTGTTTTTCTCTGCACGAGCTTTCTTTGGAACGCGCACGGCTGCACCAGTTCTCGTGCAAGGAGGCGCAGTTGCCTACGCTCCCAGCTCACCTCCCAATTAAATATGGTCAGAACAAAATGCGAAAATCATCCTTATCCAAATGGCGAAACACATGCACAACAAAACAACCGATGCGTTGAAAAATATAAAATTGCCAGTGCGTCGTTAGCATTCCACTGTGATTTTGAAGGCCAATTACATATCAATGTGATGCAATTTATATGACGGCCCGGGCCTACTCTCTTGCGTGCGTTTGGCTCTTTGCGGATTTCCAGGAAAACGTGATGACGTGATAAACTTGGGTTTCCAAACTTCTAGCTCGAGAAGTTAAATACATAAAAAATCAAAACAAATGAACTATTTTTTCGGCGGTCAGGTGTCTCATTTAGGTAGCTGGGTATTCATTTTGAAGAAAACCACGAGACTGGAAAACACAAAAAATGATACTCAGTTTTAGATATTGAGTTTGGTAAACCCACCTTAGGACTGGTGCGGGAGTCATAATAAAAAAAGGACAAGTTTAAAAATTAAACAGCAGCAATAATTGATAAGAATTAATTTTAATACGAGTTCATTGATAATTGCAATGACTGCCCAGGCAAAGATTCTGTGTCTGTGGATAGCTTTTGCACAGAGTTTATAAGCAATATACCAGTCTTAATTTGGTGATTTATGCGCAAAAATAATGGTGTGCAAAAATGAAATAGATGCAAACGGGTATAGTTCGACGTTGTATAAAATATAGTGTAAGCACGCACGTGGTGCGCTGATTAAGACTGAAACAGCGCTACATGTTACACTTGCGTTGAGCGTATCGCAAGTTAAAGGCGCATCTAAAGCTAAACCTTGTACAGATATAATGCTCAGGCCGTAATTCTTTGAAGTATATAGCAACTCGCCCAAGCCTTAACTTTAGCATACTTTATGACCCTCATATTTCGTGTAAGCTGTCTCCTGAATGCTTGCAACAGAAAGGGGGAAACATTCTAACTCTGGGTTAATAGAAAAACTCCACCTACTAACAGCTACCAATAATCTCGGCGCCGATTGTGAGTATTCACTGAATGCCAACGGTCGCGTGCCTAGAACAAGTTTTTCCCAGGTGATTTCATACAATCGCAATTGTTCTTGACAAACAACACTGTTTATTTACGCAAACGGCCACATGTGAAGTTTAACATATTTACAGTAATCACGTAAAAACTGAGGGCATTGCATATATGCAGAATGTAGTTTTGTTTCACTAAATACATTACCAGTAAAGTATTTCGTTTTATCATGCGAGCGAAGCGGAACATACAAGAGCGAACATGCTGGCGTGAACTACTCTACCAGTAAAGAAGCGCACCATCCAAAGCATCGAGCTCGCTTTTATAGCTTTTTGTGCGCTCAGACCGATTTGAAAACCCAATTATAATCAATTCTATTATTTCAATTATTTTTATTAAGCGCGCCTATGTGTCGTTGTTTCGTATTTTGCCTTCACATGCCATTTTCTTAGTTATATAATATTTTTCTATAGAAGTCCGACAGCTATAGTCTGTTTCATCATAAGAACCGCATAATCAAATATGTGGACAAAAAAAAAAAAGAAAAAGAACGCGAACAGGCAAACACACATTAAAATGCAATGTAACGCCGGATTCAAAATTAGTCGTTAGTTTTTTAGAGAGCAGCACTTTCGTAGGGCGACACTGTTACTCGTTGAATGTTATAAAAAATGCAGTACAACTGTTAGCTCGGGGTCTTTAACGTGCATTATGCAGCATATGTGGTACACGATCGCACGACGGTAGGATGCAGATGGGCGACTGAACCCAGGGTCTCTGCTAAAGCCCCTTGATAAAGGCGTTTTTTACAAGTACCGCCAACCATTGTTGTCGAAACGCGCAAGACACGTGCCACGAGCGGGTGCTCCGCCGCCATTCGCTTTCAAGGGCCATTCATTTTAGTGCTGCGCCGCCATTTGCCTCTAAAGGCCGTTCGAAACACGGGCCTCGCGCATTGGCACAATTGACGTTACTTGAAAGAACACTGTACTTGAAAGACCAACGCAAACACATCGAGGAGATTTAAGGGCTGTTTATACTCCGGCGTTGAGCGCAGTGAACGCAGCGAAGCGCAGAGCGCGCGCCTTTCATTGGCCGGCAACCAGGAACTCGATATCTGCGACCAATCAGTATCTGCGCGCGCTGCGCTACGCCGCGCCCGTCGACGTTACGTTGGAGTATAAACGTACCTTAAGTCCCCAGGTTCTGCAGCGTGAGCTCCGTGCTTTGAACGGAGCTCGCGCTCGAGCATTTCTCCACGTGCTCTGATCTGCGGCGCCTCAACACACTCGGCCAACGATCCCCCACCGCACTTGGTTCAGCCTGCGAGCTAAACCAAATGACAAACGCAACTGCCAATCGTCATGATACAAAAGTGCGACTTTCTCAGCATTAGTTTCGGTGTTAGGAAGCTCATGTAATATTGCTTTGCTTTGTCGCGAACTGTTTAATCATTTGTTGAGGACGGAAAAGTGTTTCCTGTGATTTTATATAAAGCTTCAGATAACTGACAACCATCATTTTAAGCACCAAGATGTGTATGAAGCGTAGCTTATTCAGTGGCTCTAGTTTAGCCCGACCTCATAGGCACAGAAAGAGGACGAACAGCTTGACCTCGGGCCCTTGGCGCTGCTTCAGTGGCTTCATCAGCCCGTATCGTTGGCTGTACTCCGAACTAAGGTAAAGCAAAGCAAATATTCAGACCTGAAGGTTTCACAAGCCAATCCAACAAAAATCACTTAACACGCCCCAATAAAAAAATTGCGGGTTTATTTTGACTAACTGGAAATCTTTTGACGTGCAACCGAAATCTCAGATTGGCCTCCGTCGGATTGTGGGTACCTCGGCCGACATTTAAACCCGGCAAATATGGAGTCATGGGCCAGCGCGTTGGCTCAGAGACACTGAGACGATTTAATGTTTTGTTTTAATATCATTGCCACTAGAGCCACTAAATCAGCTGCGCTTAGAGTATCGGCACTCTGTTCCCCGACATTGTTGTGGGCGCCGTCATTTTGGTGCTTGTGCAGAGCAGACGCAACTGCCGATCGTCATGATTCAAAATATACGACTTCCTCAGCATTATATTAGGCGTTACGAAACTCATGTAATATTGCTTTGCTCTGTCGCGAACTGATTAAAGATTTGTGGAGGCTAGAAAAGCGTTTCTTGGGATTTCAAATAAAGCTTCAGATAATTAGCAACCATGATTTTAAGCCACATTATGGCCAAGTGTCGTTACTCTGAAGCGTAGCTTATTTAGTGGCACTAATTGTCACTTAAGAGCCACCGAGGTGGTTTATGAAACAAACTATAGCCACACCATTCCGGCAAGCATGGTTTGATTGCAAAAATGATTTTTGCAATCGATAAAAACATTTAAATTTCTTTTGCATACATCGTGGAATCCCAAATGGCGGAATCCCTTTGTCATGGCGCCCATTTCATTTGAATCGCGTCGGGCATGTGTACCGATGCACAGTAGAACGCGCGCAAAAGTAGCTGTTGTGCACCCGCAGCCTCGCGCTTGTTGTTCTGACATCCCTGGCTCGCTCATTGCGAGGTCCAGGCATCTGACACCCTGACATCTGGCGCTTTTTCTGTCTTTCACGTGGTGTTCCAAGCGGTACACGACGGAAAATGCACATCGAGCTGTTCTTGAACACGTGTCGCCATCTCTGCTTTATATTAAGAAACTACAGTTTGCCGTAACTGAATGGGAAAAGTTTGAGGTCTTATAACATTATTAACGTGTAAATATCAATATGGAAGTTCTGAAAAATGTAGTATTGAAGGATGCTTCACAATTTAATGCCTCGTTATTATGATTAGTTGACGTGATTCCGTTTTTATAGCGCCATAAAATAATACCATTTTAAAGTTTATTTTTTATTTCAAAATATACATTATCTTTACAGTTCGTTGTTTACTTTTTTAATTTATTACATCCAACCGAACGCTCACGTAAAATATCGCGTACGATAGGACGTCATAACTCGAGAAATATTTTTTTTCAATATTAGGGACTGTGGCCTATTAAAATATTAATAATTAACTAACAACTAGAAATAATCGTAATATCGAGACATTAAAGGATCGTTGAGAAACAGTTCTTTAATTTGACATTAACTTTATAATTGTAAGCTACATAGAAAAAAAGTTATTAGCCGTCAAAAAAACACCAACACGTCATGAACGGTGGGGTTGCACCTTAAGCATGAAATGGAGTTTATGCTCCAGCATGTGTTGTGTAAGGCGCTGAGAAAAGCACGGGGACGAGTGTGTTGATCTGAGTAGCGCCTTTTTGCGCTCAGTGAAATCAGTGTTGTGCCAACTACTCAACAAAGTATTTAAGACACTGAATACTAATTTTAATATGTATTTAGAGTAGTATTTAAGCTACTTGTATTACGAACAATTCTTGAGCCGAGTACAAATACTCTGAAAAGTAATTGAATTGCATCAGGAGACAATCGACAAGTAAGTTGCAAGTTGGAAATATTGCCACGAGCGAATAGCTGAGTCGGCAGGCTGCTGACTCAGCTATTCGCACTGAACATTCCAAATGTCTTGTGAATCGTGTTGTTTGTTGTAGCTCGGAAACTTCTAGATTCCCACGCGCTTACAAAAGGAAGATAAAAAGGACAAGCGCAGGCGGGGATCAGACCCCAGCCAGCGTCATGGGAGTCGAGCAGGCCGCTGACTCAGCTATTCGCACGTGGCGTTATTGCCGCGTGCATACCCGAGAAGGAACGTTTCGCCGTGCATCTAGAAGTTTCGTATTTATTCTTACCCCGAGTGTAAGAGATAAGGAGGAAAAATGACCTTGCCTAGTTAGTCTCACCATAGCTCTTTCCCGAACATTCTAGGTCAAATATTGGACTTGGAATCTTCAGTGGCCACTTGACTTTATTCGCATTATTTTCAAGAAATATCCAATACAACCCTCAATTACTCCTGGGACAATGGATACCAGTTAGAAAACACTGTATAGGGAAATGAAAGGGTATAATGAAAGTTTGTAAAAACGTACTTGCTCTTACTTTGAAAGTGCGTTTTACTCATAGTACTTTAATTCAAGTATATTGCACCATTATAGTTATCACTCTACTTGATGTAAGAAACCTCTCATTTACATTGCACTTTTACCCAGCACTGACCTAACCATGAATGTCGCTACTGTCTTTCAGAGCATCCCCGTTATGGGTAGCTGCACATTTGGCCCCGAATATTTTCACACTTGACCCGTTTTTATGCTGACCCGACTAAAACACCGTGTTACGTGACAAGGCTATAGCAGTCCACGGGGTTCATAATCCTGAAGAAAATTAATAAATAACTCGGGAATTAGCCTTAAAAGGTCCAACGCCGCACTGAAATTGCTGCCAGAATGCAAAACAAACATCGTCATTGTCAGCTGCCTGTTACTAAGATTGAAAGTGATTGCTCGGACATATTTGCTTCAAATGTTGTGTTTTATTTTTGTTGCTGTTATTTAGGGTTCTTTCGAGATGCCCGGGGAAGTTACGACGGTTTGTACAGACTTTACGGTGGAATACATCTGCTCGTCTCCGTTCTCTTCCTCGCCGTCGTCTGCATTGAAAGAAGACACTCGGCTATTTGGACGCTCAGCGAGAATACGCAGGAAAAGAACTGGTGGAAATAAAAATCAAAAGACAAAATCCCTTTCTTCTTAGGTACGTGACTGAAAGTTGAGAATATTCTCACGGATGACAAATGATGAGGCGGCAAATAACTGGAGAACTTAAACCTTTAATGGGGCGAACCTGTCTAAAACCAAAAAAAGGGTTAGCGTCGCAGGCGTCGATGTTGGCGAAACAGCATGATCAAGCGCTGGGGCGAGACTGACTCCGGCTCTCCACGCGGAGCCCCATATGTATATGCGTGGGTTTCTGAAACATTCGCCGTAAAACTTTCGGCGCATAGAACATTCGTAACTCAATCACACAACAAAGATCTCGAGCTTACAAGAATGTAAATTGAAAGAATAAATCCGCTTCCGGAAATGGACCTTGGGCCTCCGCGCGAGAGTGAAGCGTGGTAACCATTCCTCTACTTTTATCTTTTTTTTTTTTTTTATTGCCAAGTTTAGGGAAGTCAAAAAACGCACGAACATATCAAAACACACAAAAAAGGAAAGACAATGACAAGATGCAGGCCTGCCTTCGGCCAGTACGATGGAGATAAAATCTGTTAAAATCAATCTTTAGAGACACGGAAGTCATTCAGGCACGCTCTGCTGGGCCTTATAGATTTTAACGAGTGAGATAATACTTTTTCAGAAATAATCCCGAGCCTCACGCGTATCATTTTCTACATGTCGCACAGCCATTTTACACCTCCAGATACTGTGCAGGCCCAGTAACATAAGGCAATTTACCGGGGCGTCACCTTCGGTCTTTACGGGCAGGTACCTGGTCTCATGCGTGTCTAGCGGAAAAAATATTTTTTCAAGGTCCGCTGGAGGACATTTCGCATAGAGACGCCATCCCAGCACTCCAGAAAGACATGTTCGATCGTCTCCGGTTTTTGACAAAGGAAACAGTGTTACAACCAAGGGTACGAACAGTCCCTTCTTCTTCATTCATGTTTTAACCGGTAAGGTACCGGTGTGTAGTTTAAATAAAAAAGTCTTCACACAGGGCGACACTAACATTATCTTCACGCTTTTCAAGACGTCCTGTCCTGGCCCTGCACAGAACAAAGCTCTGTACAAAGGAACAGAAAAAAACAGCATCACAAACATCCTTATACAGTCGTTTTCGCGTCACTGAACTCAAAGATTCGATTGAAAAACGAGCTACAAAAGACTGGCATTATGCAACCACTTCCTTGAGGTACCCATGAATACCACCTGACATATAAGACGAAGAAACAACCAACTCGTGCATTACCCGACCCAGTATCACTTGACACACCGTACGCAGAAAGGGATCACTAACGTCGCGAAAAAAGCATAAAACAATTGACTAATGGACGCAAAACAGGTGTGACAAACTTAGTCCCCACTCGCGGACTCGCCGAAAGAGAGTCATTCTGCTCGTACGCTCCCAAGAAGAGCCCCAAATAAACACTGCGAAAATTCGATGCAACTTTTGCACATTAACTCGAGAACAGTGCAACGCTTGTAGCACGTACCACAACTTGCTCTGAAGAAACAAATTTCAAACTGTGGAACGTGCTGAAATTGAAAAACCGTTATCACTCCATTTTTCTGCTTTATCTCTGATCTCCACCACTTGATTACGCCAGTAATGCTCGCTGTCACTGTAATACTCAAAGGGCACGCCCATATACCTTGTCGGTGTTGTTTTCCACTTAAAATTAGCAAACACGCTCGAAGTCGAATACCAGTCACCATGCCAAAAACCCAGGCACTTATCTCAGTTCACAGCACTTCCACTAACGCAGCAAAGCTGTTTGACTATGGTAACGACTTGGACTATGCTCTGGTGATCCGTACAGAACACAGCAATATCGTTAGCATAAGCTGAGACACGTATCTCAGTTAAAAAATTTTAAACCCGCTAACAATATAATTTTTGATAATACTTAAACATAGTGTTTCAATGTAGATGCAAAAAGGAAGCGGTGACAAAGGGCACTCCTGTTGAACGGACCGGTCCACTTCAGACAGAATGATTTACTATAAGGCTCGTTGTAGATCCGCTGTAGGCCATACGTACCCCTTCTCGAAAAAAGTACTGAGGTACACCTAAGCATTTCTTATGAGTTGTGAATGCGAAAGCATGTAAGCCGCTCGTCCGCTCCCTTTTTCGTCTGCTGCGTACTTTTCGTCACCGGCCAGCGCGTGTGCTTCCCTGGGCATGGTGACCTTGGACGCTCCGTGCCCGCGTGCCTAGTGGAGCAACGGCGCGCTGATGGACACGCAGCGCCATGGGGTGAGCGGTCCCGGAAACTGACGAGCGCGGCAGCAGTTTCCAGGACCGCAAAGAATAGCGTCGTCGCCGCGCAGCGGCGACGACACTATTCTTGTTTTCGTAGATCGTTTTCGCCGTCCCGCAAGGCCCTCCGCAACCCGCTAGGATAGCGGGAACTCCGGGAACTCCACAGTCAAGGCTATCGGCGCGCAGGCGCAGTAGCAACTTCTTCGTTGCGGAACGTTAGCGGAGGGGGCAGCGCGGTCTACGAAAACTCCGTACTAACCACGTTTGGCGCTTTGCGTGCGCTATTTTTCGGAAATTGCGTGCGTCCGCAAAGGGTCTTTGCGCTCCTACATAGAAGATTCGTTATGAGGACTTGGCTAAGGCCAAGAAGAGCACAGTTAAAAAAATAAAGGCCACCAGGATTATGGCTGCGGTCGCATTGGCAACATCGAGAGCGCGACGTCGGCGGCATCCTCGCGACTGCGATTTTCAATACGGGACAACATTGCACTCGGTTTGGAAAACCCGGTAAGGTGGGCAACAATCACCGGCAACTTGATGCTTGCGACGAGCGGACGTTTATCGGCGAAGCTCAGTACACTCTTACCGAGGCGACGCATGCGGACACGACCGGTCGACCGCTCGAGTCGCATTCTCACGTTTAAACAAATGTAAAATGTTACTCTGAACCAAAATTCTTGTTTTTTTCTTAAGTTACAGCATTTCGTCAGTGAAATAAAATCGTGACTTTTCTAGGTGGCGTTGCAAGGCGAGCTGTTTGGGCTTTTGCGTCGCGGCGGAGAAACGCTATTCTAAAACTCTCGCGTCGCGAGCGCTAACGCAAGCCGTAAATTTAGCGCTAGCATGCGCTAATATAGCGTACGTTATTCTAAAACTTCCTATTGTTTCTGTTTGGCTTCCAAGGTTCTTTCGAGACTCCGAAAAATGTCACGATAACCTGTACAGCATGTATGGAAATAATACTGCGGTTTCTCTCTGGGATTGTCCTCCGACTTGTCTGTGTTGAAAGGCCCCAACGATGTCTGGGCACCATGATAGAACGGTTAGACGCCGCTATTCAACCGAGCAAATTCAGAACATTCAAAATTACATCGTTTAATGGCTCTAAAGCCTTTCTTACAAGTTTTTTTTTTTCTAGCCTCAAACATCTGCTCCGTATTTGTAAAAAAAAAAGACTGGATAAAAAAACGATCGCAGGTTTGGTGGTGGTACCACCCACGCGTGCAATATTGCACTCCATTCGACGCTTCATAGTCTGCATCTTTTATTTTACGTAGGTTTTAGTTAGTAGAAAAAATAAAATCTTCAAACGCGCAATGCATGATTTTCGAATTTTTAGTACAAGATTAGCCTGGCTTTTTTAAGTTTTGGTACACACTGTGACTCCCGCGCAATGTTCTCGAAAATGAGTTTTCCCTAAATGTTTCCGACAAAGTTGCACGAAACTCTCGCCTTCTAAGCATTCCAGCGAAATATTTTTGGACCTTAAGTTTCCTTAAAAGCGCTAAGTTACCGTGTCACGCACGACTGCAAACACTGTGTGGCATATAGCGGTACTGCAGGAACAAAAACTGCTGAGTATATTTATAAGAACTTCTCAGAATTAAATCAGCATCAAAATGTTCCGACAACTCGGCGTACCAATACGACACCATTGTTTTCGGTAGCCCGAGAAAAAGATAGCGGGTCACCTCCACAGCCCCTATATAGTATTTACAACTCGCGTGGCAGGCAAGAACCGCGTGCTTTCTGCCGGCAATATGTTTGTGTTTATTGCTTTCGGTGATTCACTGGAGCGATTTCGGGCCTTTGGGGCTTGACATGGAAGCAGCTACTTGATGAGCGTGTCATACATAGGTAAATTACTTTCAAAATGTAATTTAATTACAATTATTTTGCTTCAAAAGTAGTTTAACTACAATTACAATTGCTACGATGTGAAAAGTAATTCATTACAATTCTAAATTACTTTTAAAAAGTAATGCAATTACTTTACAATTACTTATTTCCGAGTGCGACCCGACTTGGGTCATATAGCTTTAAACGAGTTGTAAAGAATGCAACGTTTTCGATCATTCCTTGCCCCTATGTATGAAGAGGCTTAAGCATCGCTGCATAAATGGCAGGTATTGTACTTCCTTTTTATGAATTTTGTTAAATTCATGATGGAACTTGACAGTTCGAGGAAAAGAAGTACTACGTTCTTATAGTTTTTATAAATAATGATAAATTAGTTCATATGCTGGAAGAAGCCAGATCGCTAGAGAAAAAATTGGGTTGACAGACTTTTGTTACCCCGGCAAATAAAAATGCGAGGATTAGTCACATGTGAATATTTTACAATTGTCAATATAAAACTAAAATCCACGCGCGCTAACACGACCGTATTCACATACAAACATCATGGTATTGTAAATTATTTACATTGAGTTGAAATTATACTGGCTCAGAAATATATCAGAACCGAATCTGGGGCTCAGGAATTATTGGTAGCAATATTCACAGGAGCGAGGTCAGTCTCCAAAATGGTTATGCAAAAAATATACAAAGTAAAACTAGCAGGAAATAAACTAGAAAATAATACAAAGATACAAATATGCGACAGTACTGGAAGAGGGACGTAAAAAACTGGCAAAAAACAAGAAAAGGACTTCATAGACAATTGAAATTCCCTCGCTCAACTAATAGCTGAAGCTCAATTTTCTTCAATTCTTCGGCATGTTTACGCTATTGTTTT